GCTCCTGGGTCTGAAGGAGGAGGGGCTAAGGGAGGAGGGGCTGGGGGCGGGGATTCCTGGGTCTGAGGGAGGAGGGTCTGAGGAAGGAGGCTGGGTGGGAATCATAGGTCCCGAAGGGCAGAGCAGGCCCTCACCTCTTTGCTGGCTCCCAGGGCACCTCCAGGTGGCAAGAGCTGCCCACTCGGCACCATGAGCACCAGCATCGGGTAAGTGCCCCTGCCCCCCAGGCCGCCTATCCCCTCCCAGGTCCCCACGGTCTCACCCACACCCGCAGGGCATTCACAGCAGGTCACCTGGGCGGCCTCCCTCCAGCCCAGAGGGTAGGGTCGCTCGAGAATTCTTCTTGGAGGAGGTGGCCTTGAAGAGGAGGTTGAAGGCAGGAGACAGAGAACGGTTTGGCTGGGTGGAGCCTGGCCCTTGGGGGCGGGAGAGGAAGAAGGTAACTCTCCATCTGCTCCAAATATTTTTTTTTAAAATATAACTTTATTGATTTCAGAGAGGAAGGGAGAGGGAGAGAGAGAAACATCAATGATGAGAGAGAATCATTGGCCGGCTGCCTCCTGCACGCCCCCCACTGGGGATCGAGCCCGCAACCCAGGCATGTGCCCTGACCGGGAATCGAACCGTGACCTCCTGGTTCATAGGTTGATGCTCAACCACTGAGCCATGCCGGCCGGCTGCTGCTCCAAATATGAATGCTATTTAAAAATTCCCGTGTATTAAGCAACTACTATGTGCCAAGCCCTTAGCATTATAATGATGATAATAATAGTTATGGAGGCTATAGAACACTTCACCTGCCCCATCTCATTGCATTCTCCTAATGGCCCTACCAGATGGAAGCCTGCCGGGGTTCTTGTCCCGGCATCCAGAAGGGTTCAGGAATCTGGAAAAGGCGCTGTGCGTAGATGACATAGGAATCCAGAGACTATAATAAAGAGTCCAGAGACGAGATAGAATTTCGAATGACGTCGCTGCTCTCCTTGGCACTTAAACCCCGTGATCTGTCCCCCAGTTCCCACTGTCCCTCTCACCCCTCTTTTCCTTCACCAGCCCAGAAGCTGCCCCCAAACCGAGTGCCAAGTCCATTTATGGTAAGTGTATTGGCAAGGGAACCCCAAGCCAAGAGAAACTGGGTCTGAGGGAGGAGGAACTGAGGCCTTGGAGTCCTGGGTCAGAAGGAGGAGGGGCTGGGGGGCCTGGATTCCTAGGTCAGAAGGAGGAGGGGCTAAGGGCGGGGACTCCTGGGTCTGAGGGAGGAGGGGCTGGGGGCCTGGATTCCTGGGTCTGAGGGAGGAGGGTCTAAGGGCGGGGACTCCTGGGTCTGAGGGAGGAGGGGCTGGGGGCCTGGACTCCTAGGACAGAAGAAGGGGCTAAGGGCGGGGACTCCTGGGTCTGAGGGAGGAGGGGCTGGGGGCCTGGACTCCTAGGACAGAAGAAGGGGCTAAGGGCGGGGACTCCTGGGTCTGAGGGAGGAGGGGCTGGGGGCCTGGACTCCTAGGACAGAAGAAGGGGCTAAGGGCGGGGACTCCTGGGTCTGAGGGAGGAGGGGCTGGGGGCCTGGACTCCTAGGACAGAAGAAGGGGCTAAGGGCGGGGACTCCTGGGTCTGAGGGAGGAGGGGCTGGGGGCCTGGACTCCTAGGACAGAAGAAGGGGCTAAGGGCGGGGACTCCTGGGTCTGAGGGAGGAGGGGCTGGGGGCCTGGACTCCTAGGACAGAAGAAGGGGCTAAGGGCGGGGACTCCTGGGTCTGAGGGAGGAGGGGCTGGGGGCCTGGACTCCTAGGACAGAAGAAGGGGCTAAGGGCGGGGACTCCTGGGTCTGAGGGAGGAGGGGCTGGGGGCCTGGACTCCTAGGACAGAAGAAGGGGCTAAGGGCGGGGACTCCTGGGTCTGAGGGAGGAGGGGCTGGGGGCCTGGACTCCTAGGACAGAAGAAGGGGCTAAGGGCGGGGACTCCTGGGTCTGAGGGAGGAGGGGCTGGGGGCCTGGACTCCTAGGACAGAAGAAGGGGCTAAGGGCGGGGACTCCTGGGTCTGAGGGAGGAGGGGCTGGGGGCCTGGACTCCTAGGACAGAAGAAGGGGCTAAGGGCGGGGACTCCTGGGTCTGAGGGAGGAGGGGCTGGGGGCCTGGACTCCTAGGACAGAAGAAGGGGCTAAGGGCGGGGACTCCTGGGTCTGAGGGAGGAGGGGCTGGGGGCCTGGACTCCTAGGACAGAAGAAGGGGCTAAGGGCGGGGACTCCTGGGTCTGAGGGAAAGGGAACTGGGGACCCGATTCTCCTGACCCATCCTCCTCCGCCCCCCAGAGCAGCGGAAGCGGTACTCCACGGTGGTGATGGCGGATGTGTCCCAGTATCCCGTCAATGTAAGTGTGGGGTCTGCGCTGCCACGGGGAGTCTTCTGGGACGAAAGGAGACGGGGGTGTTGAGAGCAGGTGGGCTTCCGAGCAGAAAGAACTGGGGAGACTCTGCCTGCTCATCCACAAAGCGGGCTTCCCCCGCCTCGCCTCGGACGCGCGTGGGTATCCGCGGGGGAGCTCAGTGCCACGCGAACCTGCCAACTTTTCCTCTTGAGCTGGACGGTGCGGCCACAGGCGCAAACCAGAGGCAATCCTGGATGAGCGGGAGGCAGACAGGGTCCGGAAGAGCAGCAAAGGGTGGCACGCAGAGGTGCTTTGAAGGGTCGAGATAGGATCCAAACCATCCCCGGACGCCAAGGAGCCTCCAGTCTTGGGGGGGAGACAGGCCCAGGTGGTCGCCATTCTGATGAAAGAGAAACGAAGGGCCCTGAGCCGAGGCGCCCATGGGTGGAGCAAGTGATCAGGGAAGGCGTCCTGGAGGCCGTGTGGTTAGGCACCCGCTGGAAGCCTGGTTCCAGGGACCCCGAGCCCACCCGGCACCACGCCCGGCCTCACTGCTTTCTGCGCGGCCCCTGCCAGCACTTGGTGACGTTCTGCCTGGGCGAGGAGGATGGCGTGCACACGGTGGAGGACGCCTCGAGGAAGCTGGCCGTCATGGACAGCCAGGGCCGCGTCTGGGCCCAGGAGATGCTGCTGCGCGTGTCTCCCGACCACGTCACGCTGCTTGACCACGTCTCCAAGGTGCCAGTGGCGGGG